ATTATAAAAAAAATCTGAAACTGAGAGCTTGTTCTTTGAAATTATATATGAATTGATAAATCCTAGTGATACTTGCCAAGAAAAAAAAGACAGGATTTCCAAATACATAAAATTAGAGATGTAAATTGAGATACTACCACAGATGCCACAGAAATACAAAGAACCATTAGAGATTCCTATGAATTATGTGGCAACACATTTGATGATCTAGAAGAAATAGAGAAATTCTTAGACACATACATATTTCCCAGATTGAATCATGAAGAAACAGAATACCTAAATCTACCAATAACAGGTGTCAAGATTGAATATAACCAAATACTTGTCACCACTTAAACTACATCAAATATTTAAAGAATTAACACCAAGACTTCTGAAATAATTTAAAAAATGGTTATTGATGTAGAACATTTCCCCCAGATATTTTCTAAACATTATTCTTATTTTAGTGACATATGAGTATTTCCATATTATTAGGTTTGATGTATACAGGTCTTGCTTCTGATACCTATACAATGTAAGTTCTCTGTTATATGTCTATTAGATGTGTTGAAGTATACAACGCAATTTAGAAGTGATATGTGGATTATGCTGTGACAACAAAATAATGCAGAATTTTCAGTGGTTTAAAGAAAAGGATTTGGGGCTGGCATCATGGTGTAGCAGGTAAAGCTGCTATCTGTAACACCTGCATCCCATATGGGCACCAGTTCACATCCTTGCTGCTCCACTTCCAATACAACTCCTTGCTAATGCTCATGGGAAAGCAGCAGCAGATGGCCCAAGTATTCAGGCCCCTATATCATGTAGGAGATCTGGAAAAGGTTCCTGGCTCCTGGTTTTAGCTGGGCCTAGACTGAGTCATGTCAGCCATGTTGGGAGTGAACATGTGGTTGGAAGTTCTCTCTCTCTCTTATCCACAAATGGAAGCAGAAAGGGTTGTGCTCAAAGATGCTTAATACCCTAAACTTATGAAAGAAAGCTACACCTATCTATGATTCTGTCCTAATTAGTACATGGCTTCCTAAAAGGAGCACAAGATGTAGTGATCTCCCTACATGATCCATAATAACACACATGACATTTCTGCTCACAGCTTGTGGATTCTAGTTAGCTGCTATTATACTTTGAACATGATTTGGCTCCAAAACTCATATAGTACTTTAAACACCAGGATCATTTGTTGGTTGTGCTGGGAGAGTGGAAACATGATTCAGTCATGGTATTGAGGAAGTGAACTAAGTGTGGGTGCATCCTTAAAAAGAAGCTCTCATTAGAGGGTTGGTAACATAAATGTGAGTCAGTCCTCACCACCCTTTGCTTCCTCCCCTGCCTTGTGATCCAAACTTCACATGCACACTGCCACTGCAGTCCTTAACAAGGTGAGCGAAACCACAGGATCTGTACACGCGTGGACCCTGACCCTCCAAAATCATGAGCCAAAAGAAATATCTTCCTTCATAAGTAGCTACTTCTCAGTTATTTCTTTTTTTCATTTTTTTTTGACAGGCAGAATTAGAGAGAGAGACAGAGAGAAAGGTCTTCCTTTGCTGTTGGTTCACCCTCCAATGGCCGCTGCAGCTGGCGCACCACGCTGATCGAAGCCAAGCCAGGAGCCAGGTGCTTCCTCCTGGTCTCCCATGCGGGTACAGGGCCCAAGCACTTGGGCCATCCTCCACTGCCCTCCTGGGCCACAGTAGAGAGCTGGACTGGAAGAGGAGCAACTGGGACAGAATCTGGCGCCCCGACCAGGACTAGAATCCGGGGTGCTGGCACTACAGGCAGAGGATTAGCCAAGTGAGCCGCAGCGCCGGCCTCAGGTATTTCTTAAGATTCATTGTTTTTTCTCCTCTACATTAAAAAAATATTACTATAAAGAGACCAGATTTCATGTATTTATAGGAACAATTCTAAGAAGATTCCTCTCTCCCCACTCTATCCCTCAATCCCCCTCTTTCCTTTCTTTTAATTTTTGCAAAAAAAAAAAAAAAACAACAACAACAAAAAAAAACGTTTATTTATTTGAAAGACAGAGTTACAGAGAAGGAGTCAGAGGAGGAGAGGGAGAGAGGGAGAGAGGGAAAGAGGTATTGAGGGAGGAGAGAGAGAGAGAGAGAGAGACAGATCTTTACTCTGTTGGTTCACTCCCAAAATGACTGCAATGGCCAGGGCTGAGACAAGTCAAAGCTTCTTCTGAGTCTCCCACGTGGGTATAGGGGCCCAAGTATTTTGGCCATCCTCTACTGCTGTTCCCAGGCCATTGGCAGGGAGCTGGTTTGGAAGCAGAGTGGCTGGGACTTGAACTGGCACCCATACAGAATTCCAGCATCACAAGCAGCAGCTGTACCTACTGTGCCACAATGCCAGCCTCCCAAAAACATAATTTCAATCCACTCTCTAATCACAAGATTAATTCATCACTAATCATAATATATTTGATATGCAGAGTTTCAGAGGGTGAGAGCGCGAGAGGAGGAGCTCATGCCAGCCTCCATTGGTTTATTTCCCAAATGGCTGCAAAAGGTGAAGCAAGACCAGGCCAAAACCAGGAACCAGGTACTCCATCAGGGTCTCCCATGTGAATGACAGAGACCCAAGTGCTAGGGCTATCTTCTGCTGCTCTCAAAGGCACAATGGTATGGAACTGCATCAGAAGTGAGGTAGCTGGGACTTGAACCAGGGAGATGGGATGCCAGCATTGCAGGCAATAGTTTAACATGCTATGCCACAATGCTGTCCACTCAGGTATTTCCTATAGTGAAAAAAAACTACTATACCCACATAGCTCTAACATAACCAGAAGGCACATGAGAAATGTACAGGAAGATGATTCTTTCTGTTGAGTGTTGCTACCTCTGTCGCAATTACCATAGTTGGTTCAACTTTCGATAAAATTACTGCCTAAGAATCAATAGGGGTGATGGCAATAGCAAACCTATGGATTTTATAGCAGAATTATGGAAAAGTTAAAAATTACAGTGTGTTGTAAAAATTTCTCTAAAACTTAGGAAGCCATTTCAAATGGATTTTTTTTTTTGCCAAGTTTAAAGCAATCTATATTTTAGTATCCAACTATGTTTTTTTAACTTTTATTTAATAAATTTCCAAAATACAACTTTTGAATTATAGTGGCTTTTTTCCCCCTTAACCTCTCTCCCACCCACAACCATCACATCTCCTGCTCCCTCTCCCATTCCATTCACATCAAGATTCATTTTCTTTTTTTTTTTAACATTTCTTTATTGAATATAAATTTCCAAAGTACAGTTTATGGATTACAATGGCTCCCCCCCACAACTTCCCTCCCACCCCCAACCCTCCCATCTCCTGCTCCCTCTCCCATTCTATTCACATCAAGATTCATTTTCAATTATCTTTATATACAGAAGATCAATTTAGTATATATTAAGTAAAGATTTCAACAGTTTGCACCCACACAGAAACACAAAGTGAAAAATACTGTTTGAGTACTAGTTATACCGTTAATTCAAATTGTGCAACACATTAAGGACAGAGATCCTAAATGGAGAGTAAGTCCACAGTGACTCCTGTTGTTGATTTAACAATTGACCCTCTTGTTTATGGCGTCAGTAATCACCTGAGCCTCTTGTCATGGGTTGCCAAGGCTATGGAAGCCTCTTGAGTTCACCAACTTCAATCATATTTAGACACGGTCAGAGTTAAAGTGGAAGTAATCTCCTCCCTTCAGAGAAAGGTACCTCCTTATTTGATGGCCCATTCTTTCTGCTGGAATCTCACTCACAGAGATCTTTTATTTAGGTCATATATATATATATATATATATATATATATATTTTTGCCAGAGTGTCTTGGCTTTCCATGCCTGAAATACTCTCATGGGCTTTTTAGCCAGATCCAAATGGCTTAAGGGCTGATTCTGAGGCCAGAGTGCCCAACTATGTTTTAAAATACTTTTACTCTTATGTCACTGAAATCTGTCAATGAAATTTGAAAATAAATATTTCATAGTCCTCTTGTACTCCACAGATAATTCATTTGGTTTATGACTGCCTAAAGGGCCCAGACTTATATGACCTTTTTTTTTACCAAGTCCAAATCCATCCCAAGTCTATTCCCAACAAACACCTATTGTGTCTCTGTGGCAGTTGTTTTATATAATGCAGAATGTATCTCTGAGACTCTATGTATCTTCTTTCTCTCAGTATTGGAGGTTCTCCAGCAATATCTCCTACATTTTGCTCCCCATTCTCATCTTCTACCTGAACCACATTACTGTCCCATCCCACCACAGAATTTTTAAAATCACCTCAATAGATACTAAAGAAAGTTTAATTTCAATATTCATTCATGATTTTTAAAAAACAGCTATAGAAAGAACTTATCTCAACACAATAAAGACTATGTATGAAAAGAGCACAGCTTTCCATGATCTGGTTCAAGGTAAGGGTGCCCACTCATGTCACTTCTTTTCAATATAATGCAGGAAACTGAGGCCAGAACAAGTAGATAAGAAACAATATCCACTGATGCCATAGAAAAGAGTGTCAATTGTTAAGTCAACAACAGGAGTCATTGTGTACTTATTCCCCATGTAGGATCTCTGTCCTTAATGTGTTGCACAATTTGAATTAACGGTATAACTAGTACTCAAACAGTATTTTTCACTTTGTGTTTCTGTGTGGGTGCAAACTGTTGAAATCTTTACTTAATATATACTAAATCGATATTCTGTATATAAAGATGATTGAAAATGAATCTTGATGTGAATGGAAGGGGAGAGGGAGTGAGAGATGGAAGGGTTGTGGGTGGGAGGGAAGTTATGGGGGGAGGGAAGCCACTGTAATACAAAAGCTGTACTTTGGAAATTTATATTTATTAAATAAAAGTTAAAATAAAAAATTAAAAAGAAACTATATCCAATTTGAACATGATTTTGCAGATAACATGATATAAATGTAAGAAATCCTAAAGATTCAATAAGAAGTTCGATCTAAAGAATTTCAGTACTTGTTGGTTAAAAATTAACATGTAAAAATCGTTCCCATACCAAAATGATACAATATCTGAAAAAGATTTAACAATCCTATTTACAATAGCAACAAAATATTTAACATTTATTGTAGCAGAGACATAATAAAACAAATATTTCTGAAAGATTCAGTGTTCTTGTAAATTTTTCTTTTTAATTTAAGAGGCAGAGGGAGAGGAGGAGGGAGGGAGGAAGAAAAGAAATACACAGAGAAAATCCATCCCTAGTTACTGGTTCACTCTCCAAATGCATACAATAGCCAAGGCAGTGGCTTGAAACCAGGAGCTTGGGGACTAAGTCCAAATCTCCCATATGAGTAGCAGGAACTCAACTACTTGAGCCACCACTGTTGCCTCCCAACATCTGAATTAGCAGAAAGCTGGAGTTAGTGATCAAATATGTGTGCACTCATGGAACAAATGCATCCTAGCCAGTGTCTTAATCATAATGCCAAAAGCCTACCCCAATACTCTTTTTTTTTTTTTAACAGACTAGCACATGGACTACTTGGACTAGTTGGCAGTCTAAGACACTCTCCCCTCATTTCAAAGTCTCTTTTTCCCTATCCATGGTCAGGCTTACATCATGGTTTGATAGCTTTTGTAGATATTTTTGACCTCTTCTCTATTTCCTTTCATGTAGGTATATCCCCAAATAAACTCTTGGCATATTTAATCCTGTCTTAGTCTCTTCTTGGCAGACCTGTGCTAGATAAGGGTTCACTCAGAGTTGGAGTAACCAACTCTTGTAAGATCACACAATTAATCAATAGCAGGTATATTTTGTAAAGCTTTATCTATAAAACCTTTCATATGATCATATGATGTTTCATTCATGTTAGCTTACTTTGGCATCAAAATTCTTTTTTCTAAAGTAACTCAGATTTATTGCTTAAGATGGAGCCTGAACACTTTGAGTTGAGTGATCAAAAAAAGTTCAGCATGACTGAATTATGAACCATGAAATACATTTGAGACCAGATTAAATATCTGAAAAATTTACAGAAATTTGTTGTTGTCACTTTTCTCATCAAGTTAATTTTTTTCTTACAATGCACTTGTAACATTGATTAACCTTTTAAATCCCCTTAGGGTCCCCAAGCAACAATCTGTTTTTAGGACAAACTTAGCTACCTTGCTTTTCTAATATAGGCCTTAGGAACACAATGGACAAAAGTGATAATCACCAACAAACACTGAACTCTTAAATCTGAAATATTTCTTCCATTCTATATAGATAGGGAAGATAACATGTGACTGGATGATCTTGTAATTTAAGGATACAGGTATGGTTTTCCAGAGTTAAGACATATGAACTTAAATGGTTAAAATTAGAGGCTTTACTTCATAGGAAATATTCTATAAATGAATTCAAATCAGGGTAAAATATATTCTTGCTACATTTTCAAAGCTTTCTTAAATAGATTTCAAATAATCTATTGTATTTCACCTACTTGGTTTAAATAAAATCACATGGTCCCCTAGATAACAATCTTACCATTTGTAATAAACTGTCTATGCAAAATGAATATTTCATATCAATAATGAAGACAAAAGAGAAGGTTATCCTTCTAATTTGTAGAATAAATACCAGGACCCTTAACTTAAAGAGAGAACTTCAGGGAAGATGAGCTTCTAATGTAGTAAAAAGCACTTTCTAAGAATCAGAATATCCCACTTTTTGGGACTTAGCTTCAGCAAAATGAGTATTGCCATAGTGGCCTTCCAGCTATATAATGTTATATATAATATATATATATATTATATATATATATATAATTTGGCCTTCTTACATGGAAGAAATGGGAACATTTTTACTTAGATAATGTCTATAACACAAATGGTCTTGAGATGATTATACAGATTGTCTTCAGATATCCTCTCTCAGCATATTCCTTTAGAAGATTTATCTTTCGAAGGCTCAATTTGATAAAGCTTTGACCAACATGAATAGAAGTTGAAACAAATCCATATATTTCGGAGGAAAGACACATTAAGAAGTTAACTAAGTCATGGAAATTACAAGACTCTGGTCTCATCTACCTGTAGTGTCTGGAAGTGTATCTTAGTAGAGTTCTCAGAGAAGATCAGGAAGTGGATGAGTTAAAACCAATGCCAGTTAGCACACACTGGCAGCTGAAAAATAGTGACTATATATATTAATATCATAGAAAATTAATTAACCCTGTAAAGTTGCCTCACTACTTGTAGGGTATTTGTTCTACAACCCATAGTGGACACCAAAATCTGCAGATAATCAAGTCCCTCTTAGAGAGTGGTGTGTTCTTTGCACAGAGTGTACAGTATTTTAGAGAGTGGTGTGTTATTTGCACATAGTGTACAGTATTTGTATAGCCTCCTGAATACTTTAAATCATCTCTAAATTACTTACAATACCAAAGACAATGTAAAGATGCCATGGTTTGGATACTAATTAAGATTGCCCCCAAAGGTCATATGTTACAGGACTGTCCCTCAGAAAGGCTGGGAATCCATTAAACAGGGAGGTCCAGTGGAATATCCTCATGTTACTGGGTCATGCTCTTGGGATGCACATGCGGCCTCTTGGGCTCTCACAAGAGGATTGTACTAAAAGGCTGCGCTTAGGCCTACCCTCTCTCTCCTGGCTCCCAATATAATCTTTCCTTTGTGTTTGCTCTGCCATTGCCATCTACTACCCTCACCAAACGCCCAACAAACAGGATGGCAGATCTTGGCTTTGAACCTTGATACCTGAAGTAAATAAACTCACCCTATTCATAAGGTTAGTTGTTTCAGTTATTTCCTTGTAGCAGCAAAAAGCTCACAAAGAAAATTGGTACAAAGAAGCAGGTCATTTCTGTAAGTATACTTAAAGACGCTGAAGTGCCTTTGGAATTGGTTTACAGGAATAGGCTGGAAAAATTTGTAGGAGCAGGTAGGCTAAAGTTTAGAATGCCTTAAAAAGGGTGTTATGCCAGATTCTCGTGAGATCTTAAAAGTTCAGAATACTGATAGGAAGGTGGACAGTGAAGGCCATGCTAATCAGATTCCAGATAGAAATGAGGGCTCCATTGAGAACTGACCTAAAGGCCATTCTTGTTACACTCTGCCAAACAACATGACTGTATCGTTCCCTTGAGCTGAGACTTTGTGGATGGCCAAACTTAGTTTATGTAGTGGAGGGTATTTCAAAAGAACAAAGCATTTGGGCTATAGAATGGGTATCATCAGCTGCTTTTAGTAAGTTTTACAGTGAAAACCAGGAGCAAAAAGAAGCATAGTAAGAAAATCTGAAAAATTCACAGCCTAGTCAGGGAAAGAACATGCAAAAACTATGTTAGGGACAGGAGAATGTAAAGGAGAAATTGCTTTCTAAAGTGATTAGTGCAGGGAAAATAAAGCCATGTGCTAATTGGCAAGACAATGGAAAAAGGGCTTGAGAAAGTCTCATAAATCTTGAAGCTGCTCCTCCCATCAGATACTCCTAAAGGCCTGAAAGTGCAGAATCCTTTCATGAACCTCAGAGTATTTTATATGGGTTTGCCCAAGACCATCTTGGGATTATTTTCCTAGAGTTAAGTCAACAAACCACTCAGATGCTGTAGCCCTAGTTCAAGCAGGCCCAGGTACAACTTGTGCTGGCATCAGACTTTGTCCACATGACACTGATTTTGCAGGCTACAGAATGCAAAGGTTATGGGCTCATGGTGGCTTCCCATTGGAATTTCAGTGGAAAGCTTAGAAAGCAAGGCAGAGTGGAGTGACATGGTTGTAGTTCCTGTAAAAAGCCTCTAATGGGGTGATGTATAGTGAAGTGGTGTGAGGGAAAACCAATGCTGAGAACCCAGGAAGTTAGTGCAATCTGCTACATGCCACCCCAGTCTTAGCAACAATGCATGATTCTCCATGAAACTCCAGACAGCAGCCATGTGGGCTGTGACCAGCTAAACCTTGGGGATAGGGCTGCCCTTGCCACAGTGTGCTCCAAATACCAGAAATGCAGTTGTCGTCTTAATACTTTCCCTGTGGGGTTTCTTTCTATTGCCCCGTTCATCTTTGTGTACATTTCCATATGGCCCCTTTTGGAATAGGAACGGATACCCTGTGCCTGTCCCACTACCATTTCTTGGAAATAAGTAATGTGTTTTTCATGTTACAGTTAAAGCAGTTTGCCTGAAGTCTTAGAAAAGACGTTGGGTTGGAATATTGAGCAATTTCAGAACATTAAGACTTTAGGACTCTTCGTGGTAGAATGAGTCCATTTTGCATCGTAAGATGGACATCAGCTTTGCGAGCCAGAGGCAGAATGATATGGTTTAAAAATTTGGGTGTCTCCAAAAAAGTTGACTTGTTAAGAGGCTTGTCATTAGGGTGATGCCACTGGGAAGTAATGGTATTATTAGGGGTGGGACCTAGTGGGAGCTCTTATCACTAAGAGGATATATTTGGTAGATAGTGCATCTGTTATCTTTTAAGTTATTGACTGAGGATTGTTTTAAAAACCTCCACTTGGATATGCACCCCTCTCTATGCTTCTTTGCTCTGCATGTGCTCTGCCATGGTCATCTATTGCCCTCACCAAATGCCCAAGAAATCAGTTCAGCCATTCTTGCACTTGAACCTCTAAAGCTGCAAGCTAAATAAATGTTTTCCCTTCAATTAATTAGATGTCTCAGGTATTTAACTGTATTAATGAAAAGCTGACTTATATAGATAGTTGCTATGGTATAACGTGTTTAGTGAATAACCAAAGAAAATTCTGTACATATTCAGTGCAGATGTACTTTTTCCCCCTGAATATGTTGGATCAGAAACTCAATGAATTCCTAGATACGGAGTTGTAGATATGGAGAGCCAATCATAATTCTATTTCTAGAAGCTAACAAAGAATCCATGCAAAGATTATGCAAAAATATATGTGTTTTCATTCCAAACCTAACAGTCCACAAATATTTAAACACTGTATACACTGTCTACCAGCAAAGAAATGCCTGATGTAACTACAGTCCAGTCAGATGATTTCATTTGAAGAAATTCTAGTGAAGGAGGCTGGCACCACAGCGTAGTTGGTAAAGCTGCTGCCTATAGTACCAGCATCCCACATGGTTGCTGGTTCGAGTCCTGGCTGCTCCACTTCCAGTCCAGCTCTCTGATGTGTTCTGGGAGAGAAGTGGAAGATGGCCCAAGTCCTTGGGCCCCTGCATCCATGGAATGGCACAGCTCCGGCCATTGCAGCCAAGTGGGCAGTAAACCAGAGGATGGAAGACCTCTCTCTCTCTCTGCCTCTGCCTCTCTGTGGTTCTTTCGAATAAATAAATAAATAAAATCTTATTAAAAAAAAAAAAGAAATCCTAGTGATGTTTTGAAAGAATTGTCACAAAATGAAAATGATCATACTATGAAATAATAAAAGCAGGATATTAAGCCTATAAATTCAATTTTGTACAAAAAAGAACAAAGGTGTACAAAGTATAAAATTTCTTCAAAAAGTTCATGGAAATGCATATTCCAAAAAAAGTATGGATTTCAAAATTTGTTGTACCAAAATAAACCTATTTTAATTTCATTTTTTCTAAAACTTACAAAATATTCATATATTTTCATCTATTTGAAAGTCAGACCTACGTGTGTAAGAGAGTGAGTATGAGAGAAAGTGAAAGAGAAATTGATCTTCCAGCCATGGTTCACTCTCCAAATGCCACAACAACTAGGAGCCAGCAAATCCATTGGAGTCATCCAGGTGTGTGGCAGATGGCCAAGCACTGGATCTACCATCTGTTGCCTTTCTGGATGCATTATTAGGAATCTGGATCATAAGTGGAGTAGCTGAGTCTTAAACTGGCACTCTGGAACAGAATGTGACCTTTACAACTAACAGCTTAACCCATTGTACCACAATGCCAGCTTCACAAAATTGTGAAGTCTCCACATGTACTCATTTATCTCCGTACATACACAAGCACACATACATGTAAATCCTGGCATTGCATTTGGTATTTATGTAAGAGTGCTACCTGGATGATTGGACACATAGTACTTATTATCTTCTTTTATTTAGACTGTATTTGATAAAAATGTAAGGTTTGTAATAAGATGAAAACAATGGATTTTAGAACAATGAATAGACATGCCCATCTGAAAATGTTCTGGAATATAAATCAAGATAAGGTACATTTTAAAGAATTAGATTTTCTCCACTACGGAAAGTAGATTAGAAAGTGAAGCTAAGGTGTTGATTAAGGGAAAAAAAAATGAATCCTTTATATTCCTCAGGATTTCATTGCAATCAGTCTTGTAATTCTACAGAGAAGTGAAATTGTGAAATAAAACATCTATCATTAATAAAGACAATTGGATTATTTCTGCTATAATAGTGACTGATGTATTGTCATAGCATAAATAACCTTCAGAGTACACAATACTAAATGGTCCAGATGTGGATAAAAATTGTTTATAAAAAATGATTTTAGATATAGACTCATTGTTCATGTTGCTATGGTAACTATAATCCCAATTGTGCCTTCATAAACCAAAGTCTATTTGATTTTTGTCATTCTTGTCTAGGGGAGTTCTATATTCTGAGAAAATTTAAAACTTGTTCGGGGAGGGTAAAATAAACTCGGAGGACTAGACTTTTGATTATTTCCATCTATAATCTAAACTTTCTGTACCATTACACATATAAAGCCTTCAATATTAAATACTATCATATTTTTATTTATGTGACATTTAATTAATTGCAAGAAAGCTCAGAAGCTTACACTTTAGTATTTTATTGGAATGTGTACTTGGTCTCCTGTTCTTGTTCTTTCACACACGCATGAACATGCACACACATATGTACATCACACATAAAAATATATTTCCACACTTAAAGATGACTTGTGTTTGTGAATTTTTAAATGTGTAGTGTTCATATTTTCCTTTATAAGCAGTGCTACAAATAGTTCTTAGGACTGATGACCAACAGTCAACCATGAATTAAAAAGTCACTTATTTATTAAAAATAAAACAAAGAAAGAAAAAGCCAGGAGGTGACACAGTTTTTCTCCATGTACCATTTCTTTAACTTCCCACTCCAACAAATGACTTTTAGTGAGGAGAAATTACATGGCTTTTTTTTTCCATAATGAAAATGAATGAAGTTGAATTCATGTATATTTTTGAAGAGTAATTAATACCTAAGATATTATAATGGATTTTTCCTCCATAAATTTCTTGTATACGCCACTTGCCAAATTTGAGAATATTTAATCATGTGATTCCTCTACTTAAACTTTTGATGAGTTGCCATTACTTTCCAGATATGACCAAAAATTTATAAATTGACTCTTGATTCTACTTCTCTTCCCACAATACTTTCAACCTATTTTGAATTCCAAAATATACTTTCACATTTAAATTTTCAAGTCATTATACATTTTTTTAAAGATTTTATTTATTTATTTGAGAGGTAGAGTTTCAGACATTGAGGGGTAGAGACAGAGAAAGGTCTTTTGTCTGCTGGTTCACTCCCCAAATTGCCGCAACGGCTGGAGCTGAGCTGATCTGAAGCTAGGAGCCAGGAGCCAGGAGCCAGGAGCCAGGAGCATCTTCCGTGTCTCCCACGTAGGTGGAGGGGCCCAAGGACTTAGGCCATCCTCTACTGCTCTCCTAGGCTATAGCAGAAAGCTGGATCAGAAGAGGAGCAGCCGGGACTAGAACCAGCGTTCATATGGGAGCCACGGCGCCAACCCTGAAGTCATTATACTTGTAAATCCTTCTACTTGGAACAACTTTCATCCTTCATGTTTCCCTGGTTTTGGCTCTCATGTATTATTCAGTTATCATTGTGAAGTCATCATTGTTAAGGCATCATTGGCTGGCTCTATTTTTTTTTTTTTTTAAGTTTATAACGTTTTACTATGATTTAGGTTTTCTCCCCCAACAGAACAAAATTATATGCATAAAAAAAACAGGTATCAGAAAGACTCAAAAGGCTGTTTTTCACTTTGTTCAAGTTTTGTTTCCAGGCATTAAGTGTATCATACAGTTGTTGCCATTGCTGTTTTCTGAATGTCCAATGTGTGCTATGACTGGCAACTACTTTTCTCTGAGTTTGATCAATTTTGCAGATCATTTTAGTTCTTACCACATCAATAACAAATGCTTCAACATCATCAGCTCCAATCTGGAGTTCTTGCTGCATTGTATCAAAAGAAATTTCCTTATTTTCTACTGCCATTCCCATAAAAGTATGTAGTCTCATTTTTGCCATATTCTGTTCATGTAATAGCCCAAGTAAATCAATGAAGTGTTTATTATTCTGGTAGAACTTGACATAGGATGCCAATTTAGCACTCACAAAAATGGTTGAAAGATTACGAATAAGTTTGCCTTCCAATAACTTGACTGCTTTCAAAGTAAGAAGATGGTCAGAAAGAAATGCATTTGGGTCTTTCAGCGCTGGAACAATACACCTGTGGGCATCAACTCGAGCCTGGGAGGCATTATCCTCTGTGTCACTTCCAAGTAATTCCACCATGACTTTTGAAGCAGCATCACTTTTCTTACAGTCCACGAGTGCCTCATAAAGAAGCCTTAAAAGGGTGCGTTTCTTCTCAGTGGTGAGATTCCAATCAGAAATCCATTTTCTAACTTGATCCAGCTCGGTTGGAACGTAATGGATGGCCCCACAAGACGCTGCCACTTTAATGAGGCTGCACCACACCGTGTATCTTACAGGAGTGTTCTTAGCCATTTCATGGAAAAGGTTGCTTAGCAGCTGCAGACTCAGAGATGGGCGTCGCTCAAGTACCTGAATATCACCCTTGCATTTATCATATTTGTACTTATCATTTATCACATGTTGTTACAGCTATTAAATGTGATTTATTGACCACAGTTTATTAAACTACTTTAAATAAATCACCTATTTAAAAACACATATGCTGGTGTTTTACTCAACTGTTTCCAAAATTATTTGCCTATTAGGTCTCAGATATCTTCTTTAACTTGATTGTCTCTTCTCCATTTTACGGGGAACTACATTTCCTGGTTTCCCATGTCAATCAGACTTCCTGATAGGCAGGAAACGGGAATGAAAGAGGAGTGAGAAATCAGAAAATTTCTCCACCTTTTCTGCAGCTGATAACTTGGGGTCTTAGGCCATTGCTGCTTCTTTTCTGTGTATGTCTTTCACCAGAAAAAATTTTTGTTTCAATGGGCCTACCTCTCGCTGTTAACTTTTCCATATTGGTCCCATATAGGTGGAGTAGATTTCTTGTTTTCACTAAAATAGTTGGGTCATCAACCCTTGTTTGGCCCTCAGCTCTCTCATTTTATACCAACATACTTTTGCTTGAAATTCCCGTAATAATGTAGTTTTTCTAAGTGGATTTTGAAAAATACAAGATGGTCTTCATGAAAGTAGAATAGGTCTTATTCTTTCAGTCTTCATGTATGAGCATAATTATAAGCATATGTTAATCAATGATTAAATGTGTGTTGAATTAAACTAAACTCTGCCTTAGGAAGTATAGGTCTCTCAATAAGAAAAAATATTTCAATTAACAGAGATATTTCAAATAATACTGACTGCTATAAAAATGAAGTACTTTGACAGATTCTAACTATTCAGGCTCAGAAATAATGTCCTACCTTTTATAAATGGTTGAATTCTTTATTTCACTACTATCCACTAATACAAAATTACTTTTTCCCTAGAAAAAAATATTTGCAACCACTTTTCCCCATTGTCTTTTCCCACCCATTTGACATACTCTATGGCATTGTACCCTCAGATGCAACCATATGTCCTTGATTTATCACTTCATTAAGCAATAAAATAAAATCCTGGGTAAACTTTTTTTTTCTATTTGAAAACAACCTTAAATATTCCCAATTTTTTGCTCAATTTTTATAATTGACAAAAATGTCCCAGAGCAAGAGAAGAAAGTTTCATCACTGCTTGGTTTTAATTTTCTCCATTTTATTTTTTAATTAAAGATGGAGGCTGAAAGCTTCAGGACCCCTGGGGAACACTACAGATAGAAATATTTCTGCTAAAATTAATAAAGTCAAACAAAATATCCAACCCAAACAAGGCTTCTGTATAATAGACTCTATGAACAAAAGCCATAGCAAATGCTTTTCCAAAAGAAATGTGTGTGCTTTGAAGATAGCTTTTTGTTTGGCTTCTTCTAAGGTTTGGCTTGGTGTCATTCAATTAAATGCACTCCATTGTACATCCTGAAAAATATTTCTCACTATGTAATACACAGGGATGTTTTCCAAATACCCTCATCCTCTATGGTATAGAATGAATTAGCTAATGACTAAATAGTCCTTGATAAATTTGTACCAGCCATACAAAGCTTTGGTGTGAAAGAGAAACTGATTCCAGTGATCTAAAACAGCTGTTGTCTGAAAGAACACCCCTAATACTAAGTCAATGAATCTAGACCAAATTTTCAGCTGCCAAGTGGAAGATTGTTACACATTTAATAAATATTTAGGATGATGCAAATACATCTTACTGAAAAAAAATTAAAATGAAAAGTCAACTGAAAAAACTCACTGATTATCAAGTGGAAGGTAATGTTTATGAAAAGTTCCAATTTCCAAAGTTATATAAATGCATAAAACATATCAATATAACTATTTATCATTTATTTTATTCAGTATCATTTAAATTCTCATAAAAATAAAAAATTATATTCTTATATATTAAAATGTTCCCAAATATTTGTTTTAGATATACATTAATACTTTAAAATTTTCCGTACTATATAATTTGGATAATTACTTCAATACAAGAGATCCACTCTATTATTTCAGACATTTCTATGATGTAGGTGAAATATCTGGTGACCTTTGACAAAAAGCCAATGTTAAACAATTTCTACAACTTTGTTTTCCCCCGGTGACCATCAATCAAATTTGTCCTTGAGTACATAAAACTGTCATTTTCTTTCCCTTGTTTATCCTTCTCTATCAGATACATGACACATAATTTAGAATATAGATCATAATGTGACTTATAGGAAATTCTCATTTAGAACAGACCACGACAAATTTTGGAAGCACCTCTTATTGTAGTTCTTTTGGGGCCAGAGTTGTGCCTTTCCTCTCATTGTATCTCACTTTAAGTTTAACAAGAGAAACTGCTAAGGACTTTCTGAACTCATGATCTCTCTTATTCAAATAGACCCAACAGTGTCTAGGAAAGACATAATTACATGATTAGCTATTGAAAACACAAAAGCCATCACTTTAATTAGTATGCAAGCTTTCTTCTGACAGAATAAATGCAGAAATCAAAGATGATTGAGCAGGTGATTATTTCTATTTTTCTGGGTACATAGATGAGAGGGTAAAAGGTTATTTTTAAAAGGCTTCTAGCAAAAAAAAAATCTTTTTAAAAAGATAAACTGTTTCCCAGAAACAGTAAAGGGTTATCCTAACATAAAGTAATATTTTTTTAATCAAGACACATACGTATTAGTAAAATCTCACTATTTCTTTTAGCTTACAGAGAATATATAAAGCTCTTCAGTGATAAAGAAACAATTCTGATTTCTTATCAAAATAGCTAATGAACCACTTTTTGTAAATGTATAAAATCCTAATAAAAGTCATGGCATCTTGTATTCATAGGAGATTCTTTCTTAAAATTTTATGTAACAGGGAATGAATTAGCTTTAATTGTTCTTCCATCTCTGAGGACTAGACGTAACTCTACATAAGGCTATAGAGATAATTGAAGTGACTTGCTTCAACAGTACCCAACTGCCCATGTTAAACCTAAAGCACAGGTTTCTTGGCTACTCATACTGTGCAGCTTTCTTTACAGTGTGAGACCATTCTGTTGCCTTCCAAGGTGAAGAAAAAGAAACAAATAATAATAACCACTAGTAATTATTACTGATGAAAAGTTTGTGTTTTCATACATTCTTCAATGGTAACAAAAATTCAGGAAATCAATTTCTTTCCTTTTGGAAATAAAATTTTCCTTTTGGGGTAAGTTGTGTTGCTGTCCAACACATCTACTGCTGACTTTTAATTAGTGATCTCATAAATCCTAACAGAGGGACTGACCTCTCAACCCACTAAAATGTAAAGATAGGATATGTTTGACTAATTTCATTTTAAACAGTATTAGTAAATACTCCTAATTTTTCAAGATATAGAACTCTACATAAAAATCTGATAAGGGCTTCAAACTACTATAAAACAAAAAGATGGCATTTACAGATAAAAATATGTAAGTGCTAAATTATCTTACAAAGTGTGACAAATTAAATTCTCACAGTACATGTTAAGACCTTCACCTTTTTCTTCCATGTGTTGCCAAATTGATTATTTTCTATGTGTTGTGATTTATATCACTATTTTAAAACTACCTGAAAGAAAAAGGGGGAATTTTGGTCAAAATGTTTCCTGAGAAGATGACCCATGAATGTCAAAGCAGGTATTTGCTACATATAATGTAATCTTATGTGTTAACTTTTTCCTTTTTCTTAAACATGTAAAAATTAATTACATTGCATTTAATCTTGAAGTGATATTTTGATAAAGATATATAAAAATATAAACTAAACATAAAACATAAAAAACCATAAATTAAAATAAACCAAAGAATCTACCTCATTTCTGGAAGTCCAAGTTTTTCTGAATGATGTTACTACATCTCCCTCCCCAAATTTTTATGAAGTACAAAGATGTAAACTGAATCAAACAAACATGTTAAGTTATAATTAAGTTAAACATAACAAAAAAGACTTCAGTGACAGCAAAGTGGTGAAATACACTCATTCTTGTTCTTTGTAGAAGTTAAAGGCCACTTGCTATATTCCATAGCTATTTACTGCCACAAATAAAAGAGAAGCATATATAACTGATGATGGTAAAATAAAGTAGAACCAATGTTGTGTGGATATTCTGATGAGATAGAAACTAATTTCATGCCAGTAAGATACTACAGCCATCTATGTAGTCTAGCTAAACTGCCTTCCAGGGAGCCATATTTCTATCAACTACAATTGTGCAACAGTCAAGTCAAGGCAAGAAGTGTTTCTCAGGGTGTGTGTATGTGCATTGTTGCCACCCAAAACCCACCTGACTTACTTTTCGTAGATGATAGTGGTACATTTTTAAATTTTTCTTCTCTGGAATAAAGATCACATCCAGGCCAGGGGTGCTATAGAAGCTTCATGAACACATCAACATTATTGAGTTCAGCAGTCTTAATTAGCTTAAAGAATGTATTAAATTTTGTGATGGAATACAAGAGCACCTTGAAACAAAGGGGTTCTAGATACAACAGTCTGGCAGTTGTCACTTTGAAGCTGGTATCTCAAATACCAAATAGGAAAACTGAGATGCAAACAATGTACATGTTTGTAATTGCACACACCACAATTAAACTGCTCTTCAAGAAGTAGACAACGAGGGCTAAAATTCACCACAGGAGAAAAATACCTGACACTTGAGTTCTTGGGCAATAAGTGTCCATGTAAAAATTGCTGAAACACATTAACTTCTGTATATCCTATTTTTAGAAGATGTTGCCACATCAAATTTTTAAAGAGACTTGAATTATAATTAGCTACTTCAGGTTCTATTTTTCAACTGACATTCCAAATTTCAAAATTAATGTCCTCCTCAGTATTGTTTAAGTCTCTCTTTCTGAGGATTGTTCATCCTGATTCATAGAAGACATATACTCTGAGGATTCAGTAGGATTTCCATCACCTTCAATAATGAACTCGCATCTGAACCAACACTCAAGTGCCTAGTTTGTTCCATTTGTGGCAGCTCAGTATATTGCTCTGCCTCATATCTAAGCAGATACTGACTTGCAAAGTATCTCATCAGGGTTTAATATGGGATCATGTTATCTGCAAAGCCTTCAACAATACAAGTGACCATAACCAGTTCTTTTCTTTTTTTTTTCTCTAATAATCTCTGCTTCAACATTGCATTCATGTATTGGGTAATTCTGATCAAGGTCACGGTCTGATCTTTCTCTTTCAGTCAGAGCTATTAAAATCCTTCCATCTTTACAGTCTCAATCTGTTTGGCAGGTTGTTGTTACTATGTTTAGTGAAGAGGCTGCTGTGGAAGTGTTTCCTGAACACCTCATTCTTAACTACATCTGCAGATCTGAAGAGTGGACCCCTCCTCACATTCTACCATAACTCTTTGCTTTCCTACTGTTTCTGTATAAGGTCATGTCTTACTTTGTATTATTTCAGAATCCATGGGGTTAATATTTATAAGAGTTTAAAAGGGATTGACTACATAACTAAGTTCAATTTTAGTTTTTACGGGGCACAATGTCCTATGCAGAGAATAATTTCTAGGCCCAGTCCATTTCACCTGCACTAACAAATAAGCATATTTCTAATAATTGATCTGTGTTAAAATGCATCCTGAGGAATAAAGAACAGAGTAAATGCACAAAGTTTTCTATGTATAAGAATAGTAGAGATGAAAAAATGTCTTTCTCTTGCTGTGTATGTAAAAGGAATTAAATAATTTATACTCAATAATTAAAATTAGAAGATATAGAACACAAAGAATG